CGCGGTCTGCGAACGATTCAAGCTGTCCGAAAACCGTTAAGAAGCTCGTCAAGCTCTCGTCCCAGCCATTTGCGAAAGATATTCGAGGAAATCCTTTCTCCGGATATCGAGGAAAAAGGATTGTTAGGAAAATTAATGGGCAAGAAGTTAAGGAGGCTTCGTAGCTATTAAAGTAGCCCCGAAAAGTTCCCGTTAAATGTATTACGGTGAAAAGGTTTCGCTTAAGCTACCACCTTTGCAGACATGAAACCTCGGTCGATCGGTTGAAGGATAGTCGATTCGAGTCCGTGACTGCGAGATTGGGGGTTTTCGGGGGTTTTGGAGCTTTTCGGGGGTTTCGGGCGACTTTTGGACGGCCTCGGGGCCTCGCCTCGAGGTCTCCTCGGTCGAGGGATTTGCCGCTCGTCCCATGAGAGATGGACTCGTTCGCGAGACACGCCCGCCAAGACTCGCCTGTCGTGTATGTATTAAATTCACTATTAAATTATTAATCTAACAGTTATTATGTACTCCGGGATCTCGGAAGGCGCGTCGAGCTTGCGCCGATCCTGACTCGACGCTTGCCGAATCTCGCCGGAAAACGAAAGCGACTCGACGAGCGTACCTACCCAAAAAGAAGTCGGGCGAATCGCTGTCCGAATTGGGTTTTCGCCCCACGTTGAACCACGGTCGGGCAGAGTTTTCCCGAACACGGTGCTTCGCCCGACTCCAGCCTGCACCGCTCCGTTCTACCCTCCCCAAACGTGTTAAACGAGAACCCAACGAACGGACGTATGACATAGGAAGAGAGAGAAACCGAGAGGCGCAAAGACTCCTGCGAATTCGTTAAAACGTGGCTCGCGGATAGGCGAGAGAACAAAATGAAACCCACCATTATATTAATGAGATAATATTATAATTATTAATGTAATAATAAAAGGAAATAGTTATTATTATTGAATTATAGTCGTCATTACTCACGAAGCCGCGGAACCGCGGCGATATTTAGGGCGAGAGGTCGCGTGCCCGTGTCCTTTGCGAATTCGATCATTAGCATGCTCATAAGTCGCAGGTTCTTTTCGAGATAGTCGGGGCAGGTCTCCTTTGGAATCGATCGCATCCTTTGGACGCTCACGAGAACTTTGGTAAAGTCCGTGGTAACCCGCCTCTTCGACGTGACGCGCTGGACGCAGCCGAAGGTCCTTCGCTTATATCTCGCTTCCGGTTGTTCGTAGGACAAAAGTAACGATTATAAAAATTGGCAAGGATGAAATTCTCTTGAAGAAGTCTCGGGAACCCCGTTCTCTCGGAGCAGCGGTTTCGACGATACGGTCGTGCGAAGCTGGGCCAATTGTTTCGACCGAAAGCCTTCTTCGTTTTCGCTCCCGTAGTCTATCCCGGTAGCAAAACGATCGAGATCAGACCAATTGTCTTTCGGGAATTACAGAGGATTCTACGAACGATTCGCTTTAGGGAAGAAACCGATACGGCGGTTTTAATTCCTTTCGAATCTCAGGGTTGTCGATAACAGGATGTCCCCTAACGAGTAGTCTCTCTTAGCGATATAAGAATCCGTAATACTTTTCGAAGATATTATCGAAGAGTAGTCGAATCTGCCGTTGGTGTTACAAAGAAAAACGGACGAAGCTACGACGAAGCATTCTTTCGACGTACCGGTCGTAGCTGGGTTTCCGTTCATCTCTCCATTTCCATCTCTCCAGTTCTCTTATAATTTGTTCCCCGTTACCTCGCTGGCTATTTAATCATCCTCCCGAATCTCTTTTTCTCTCCATGTTCTCCTCCAAATACTACATTAAGCTACCTCACCTTTCTATCTCTCTTAGCTTTATTTATTAAAACATGAGAGGAATGCGTACGATGCGTTGTATGAAAATGTACATATATAAATCATTACGTACGTATAGTATAATGTTAATATACATTGGCTATAAGAGATATTATACCTTTTAACAGGTATGCTGGCTAGCAATATAAGACATAAAAGTTAGAAATATGTTACATGACGGTTATTATTAAATACAGAAACATTCCCGTTGTTCGTTATTTCTCCGCCAGATTTTGCAAAGCGCGGTATGATTACTTTCTAGGTAAGAGATTTGAACACACGCCTCAGCAAGTACATAGTCGTTGCTCTAATAACCCATCACCTCATGTTAATAAATACTTTTTTATTCTTAAGAGATATATATGATGCACATTGGATACCTATGAATTAAAAATGTTGACAATTCGAACTAAAAGGCCCATTCGAACGAACGCTCGGACGCATGTCTTGTTATTTTGGCCTTAGATTAATATGTTTAAAGCTCGTTAAAATCTCCAAACCATTTAATGTGACCTCTCCTTGTGAGAAGTATCCACGTGCTACCGTTTTAATATATTGTACTATTATCGACATATTATAAATGGAATTTTAGGCTATTTAGAGAACTGGTTACGGCATTTTCTCTTTACAAACATGTTTTATATCTGTGGATGCCGTGACGGCCTTACTACGTTCCTAAAATGACGCTTCAAATTAGAGATGAGTTGGAAGATTGTTCACGGACAGAGTCGCACGATCGCGCCCTGTGCTGCCCTCGGTGCAGAATGCAGGCGGATCATGCACTTGCCACCTGATACCCCCCACCCAATGGCGGCCCAATTCAGGAATCCTCCTCATTTCGGCTCCCAACTCATCTCTTTGATAATAAACATCGTTTAACATCTTTTAACATCTTTTACCAACAAGTCCTCGGTGCAGAATGTAGGCGGATCATGCACTTGCCACCTGATACCCCCCCACCCAATGGCGGCCCAATTCAGGAATCCTCCTCATCTCGGCTCCCAACTCATCTCTTTGATAATAAACATCGTTTAACATTTTTTAACAGCTTTTACTAACAAGTCCAGTAAGATCTGCGGCGATGAACTACCAATGATGATTAGAAAAAAAAAAAATGGATCCTACCGTGATCCACCTAAACCTGAAAAAGGGCACAAAAGAACAGACAAAACGGGACATTCAAAAAAATCCAGGAAGTCTGAGATTAGACAGCAAATAAGTTGCTAAAAGTCAAGAATATTAATGGTAGATTAATCTCGTTAAATTAACTGAACTGGTATTGTTCATTTGTTACTAAGTAGGAAAAAATCCTATTTAAATGTAGAATCGACAAAATATAATCGAAACGATCGTTCGCCGTCTCTTCTCCGTCAATCCTGACAAAGTGACAGAAAAAAAAGGATGGACAATGTGGCCAAAAAATGGTTGGCTGTCCGTTCAAAGAGTTGCCCTCTTCTTAATGGGCTGCTTCGGCATATAGCCTCTTCGACTCTTGCAGTCTCTTCGGGCAGAGCCCACTACGTCTCGAACGCTTGGCAATCTCCTGATTTTTCGTATTAAAAAAAAATCACTCGGCGGGCAGAACCAAAAGCTAGCCAAACGACGATTTACGATCCGAGGATGCGCAGTCTGGGCGTATTGCACATTTATCCGGATTCCCAAGCACGGTCTAATTAATTTCATCCCTGAAAGAACATTTTCGTTATCGCGGGCGTCCGGGAGGACCCTGAGCGAATTATTTACTTTCCAGACTAAAATTAACTACTCGCGGCAATCCAGGAGTTTCTTGTTCAAGAAATTTCATAGCTCCAATGAAATTGATTTTGGAAGAATCAGAGCTTCGACCCAAACAATCACAAGATAATATCAGGTGAAAGCGATTTCGCGAAAAGAATTTTATATCTAAAATTGATCTCAAACTATTCACAATATTAGCGGAACGTAGAGCACAAGAATTTTTTTTTTCCAGAAAGTAATTTTTCCTCTCGGCGTAGAACCCCGGGCGCAGGACGGGCATCCTCCGTGCTTCCGGAAGCGCGAACGATGGAAAACTACCCCAGGTTCAGGATCTCCCCCCAAACCCCCGGGAGAAGATTCCGCCCTGGCCCTGCCTGCTTACATCTAGACGTTCACTGCATACACCTATCCTACCTCCCTAGCTATATCTGAAAGAACAATCACATTCGTTCCAACTCGACAAAAGTAACAATTTGAGTTGGCAGTTTGCAATTGTTATGCGTGAACAGCCGGATCTAGAACTTATACTTATCATCAAAAACGACGGTTTGTTCTCATTGGTTCCTGGTATTGACGTCAGACCTCTTATTGCAGTGCCGCTACATTAAATTACATTCCCTTCCTTCCTTTTCGGTTTCCTATATTTAATTTTTTTTTTAGTACGTTTTATAATAATACTCCAACTTTATAAGATGTACTATAATTGTCCGGATTATACTATAGTTTTGGCCCGGCTGTACTATAATTAACGGGCTTGGAGTTGGCAACCGTGGTGGCTACTCTTATCAGCGATGAGTCGGGGGATTGCTCACGGGCAGGGTCGCGCGATCGCATCCTGTGCTGTCCTATGGTTTCGTTCGTTAGCTTTTACAGTTTTTTGCCCCCAAAGGGTGGCGCAACGAATTTCTGGTAGTTCGCGCACTTGCGATGGCGGTGCCATCTACCAGTCGCCGTTGGCGGCTCACGTACTCGTGATGGTAATACCATGTGACAGTTGACGGTGGTGGCTTACTTACGCTTACCGACACTGCTCGCTTTTGATGGTAAGGGAAGAACACTCGTGGCGCCCTCTTTGACTTTACCCTTCACTTACCTTATTTATTTTATCCGCAAATGATACAGGCAAAACTACAACGTGGCTGCTCGAGAGTTGAGTTATACTTTATATACAATTTTTATAACCTACGGAAATTAATAAAAGAATAATGAATGTCCCTAGGGACACATAAAACCTAGATGGAAGGAGATACCCAACACATAGCTTGACGTATCGGTATGATGTCAGGTGTAACATATGTATCATATCACATGTTACTCACCCACACAGTTAAAGCCATTCTGCTTACTGAAAATCTGGGAGTGGGAAGTCCAATACAAGGTCTAGATATATAACATATAGCGCTCAGCTGAGACGCGTGAACTTGTCCTGAGACGCTACCGCGTCTCTTGATATGGTCTAAGGATTCTCCTAGGAGTTTCATCGATCGATTGCAAGTCAATACTTTGTAAGGTGTTTCATTGTATACAATTTTGTTGACACTGCAGCAAATGTCATATTAATTTCACGCTGTTTTTACTTTACAGAATCAATATTCACCTACCGAGTACTCGTGGTTAAGAGAATATTCGCATTCATAATGAGTACAGGAGGTAAAGTAGCAACCAAGTTTCGTGAGACTTTCCGCGTCGTACAAAAGGATGTGTTACGATGGTTTCCTGGGCATATGGGCAAGGGATTGAAGCAGATGCAGCAAAAATTGAAAAATGTCGATTGTATTGTCGAAGTGCACGATGCACGCGTACCCATTTCTGGCCGATATACTGACTTTAAACAAACAATCAGTGGTTTAAAGCCTCATATTTTTATTCTAAACAAGAAGGATTTAAGCGATGAGCGTTTCAGTAAGGCAATTGAAGAGCGGCTTCATAGAGAAGGGATATCCAACGTTCTCTTTACAAACCTTAAAGATCAGACATGTTCGAATATGAAGAAAATTTTGCCTTTAGCAAAAAATCTGATAGTAAACTCAAATCGTTATCATAGGTCAGAAGAACTGAGTTATGAGATGATGGTTATCGGAGTCCCAAATGTTGGGAAGTCTACTTTAATTAATCGCTTGAGACATACTTACCTTGGCAAATCACGAGCAACGCAAGTAGGCGCTATAGCTGGTGTGACACGATCAGTTTTGAATAGGATAAAAATTTGTGAAGATCCCCCTTTCTATTTGCTTGATACGCCAGGTATTTTAGCACCTTCTATAAAAGATATAGAATCAGGATTAAAATTAGCTCTTATCGGGTGTCTTCAAGATCATTTGGTAGGTCCAGAAATAATAGCAGATTATCTTCTTTTCTGGTTAAATAAACGGAAAAGGTTCGAATATGTTGAAAAACTAAACATACCAGAACCAATGGATGATATATTAGAAGTTTTGCTTGCTACGGCAGTAAAGTTGGGGAAGATGAAAAAAGTTAGGACTTATGATAACCAAATAAACGTTATACCGGATATTGACATAGCAGCAAATCACTTTATTAAATTATTTAGAAATGGAGATCTAGGACACATCTGTTTAGATGAGGATGTATTAGAATCCCAAAATACATAAAATAACATAATAAAAACTGTCTTATAACACTTGTAGGAATGACTTTTTACCATTGTTATTTTTTAATTCTGCTAATATACAACTTGTACACATTGCAGTAAGTTTCACTGTGCATATGTAAAGTTAGATTGTAACTGAAGTAATATTTACTGTTGGAATAAGTTTTTTCTTTATTGTTTGCTGATTTTCATTAATCATTAGACATACACCTATTACATTACAATAGTCAGGAGAAGAAAAGATTGAACGATCTTGATAAATAAACACACGAAAAGCACTCCTTTTTTTACTTTATTTTCATATTCTAAATAAACCAACATTCTATTATCACGTTTTTTTTTTGTGCACATTCCATTTTATTCCATGTGTTCAGGAAGCCATTAACAATTACATTCTGTAGTTAGTCAATTTGTAATTTCAACACTTTAAGGAAAAGTTTGAAGCAGTAATTCCTAACAGTTGTTACATACTTTCCTCCGACGCTAGAGTAACTGTACTTAAATCCCCTCTCTACTTTTCATTCCAATTCTTCCTTCCTTTCTCTGAATATGGCTTTCATGTTGGTCACTTTCTCTTTGCGATGTGGATGGGTAGTTTTACATATCTCCTTCAAGAACTGAATAAGTTCTTCTGAGTCCAGAGGTTAAACTAAATATGGTAGTTGTAGTCTCTAACTTTTTGGCATAATTGTTGCACTAACAAAAAGTTTGCGTACCCACTTCCAGTGAACATGTTTGCGAGGGTGACTTTTTACCCAACATTGGTGTACAACATAATGATGGAAAAAGTTTCTTCGAGAAGGTGGTATGACAGAATCGATGAAACAGTTATTTTGGGTGCACTACCTTTTCGGAGTATGATGAGGCAGGTATTGCAAGGACCTATTATTTATACATTTCATGCATGTAAATCTTCCATTGCACAGATTATTCATACATATTACTCAATAGAACGAATGTTATTAACTCAAACATTTAATAATGTTGCATTAAAATGTGTATAAATCTGTATTACCAGCATTAAGTTCTATCAGAAATTATTTTGTCTGCGATCGTCTTCTATGAAGAGATCTGTGTTATTGTAATGTTAACTATCGTACGTTATAAATCATAGCACAAATATTAAGCAACTATGATACATAATTTCATCTTAAAAAACCAATATATAGAATTCACAGAGAAACAGCAATTTGTTGAAATTGATACATTTTCAGTTACTAATACAAGAAAATGTGAAGGCTGTTGTTTCCATGAATGAAGATTATGAGTTGCAGTTGGTATCGATTAAGGGTGAGGTAAGAGTATATATGATAATGACAATTTTAAAACGTATGTCTTAATACATTTAATATTGTGAAAAATGTAATTGCCTTAGGAATGGAGAGCACATAATGTCCAATTTTTGCAATTATCAACTACTGACATTTTTGAAACACCTTGCCAAGAAAAGCTGTTGCGTGGTGTCAAATTTATAAACCAATTTGGAAGCTCCACAAGTCGAGTATTGGATGAGTCCGGTACAACTGAAAGAACATCCGAACCTGGAACGGTGTACGTTCATTGCAAAGCAGGAAGAACAAGAAGTGCTACTTTAGTTGGATGCTACTTAATGATGGTTAGTAAATCTTAATGTATACACTCAGTATACATTAAGTATACGCTAGTCAATTCTTGCTTACCAGTAATATGTATAGTAAAACCTTTTGCACATAAGTAAAAAGTAATAAATATTTCCATTCATTGCAATAATAATATTCATTTTAGAAACATAAATGGAAGCCTGAAGAAGCTGTAGATTTTATGAAAAGAAAAAGAGAGCATATATTAATTCACACACCACAATGGTATGCATTGAGACTATTTTATCAGGCACATGTAGAAAGTACTATGACATAACATTGTAATTTATAATGTTAACATACATTGTACAGTAATTGCGATTCAGTTAGATGTGTTAGAGAGCATTTAAATTTAGAAGTAATATACGATACTTGAAACTTTTTAAATAATGGTTTTATTTACACTCCTTGCACACCAACTTGTAGTTTACTAAATTTGCATTCTAGCAAATGGTTTGTCATTTACTTTTATGTTTTGTTTTTTTCACGTGTTTCGAAGCAAATTTGGTGGCCTCTGTAACGGCTTGATCTATGAATGATTTAATTTGATTCTCTAATAATTTTGTACTTTTCATATTATTAACCAATAACGGGTCTTCATCCTTATGCGTATAATCCTCGGAATTAAAAATTGACACAACTGTCTTCATCCATGAACGTGCATTGAAATCATTTGAAACCATTTCCTGGTAAAGGGATAAAAAACAAATTAGTCATGTAAATGCATCAACTATGATAGATACTCACGACTATGTCAGATCCATTTAGTCCCTTAGGATGTGAAATAATTTTTGTAATACTTCATAAAAAAGGCAATTACCTTTGGTATGCAACATCTAGCTTTCACCATTTTTTCACTGTGGACTATGACCATTACAGGCATATTCGGGCAGAGATTTGTAAGTTTTGGCAAAGATAAATTGTTTAACACGATGGTGCTCGATTGAAGACATTGTACCATAAATGGTAATCTTAATGAATGCATTGCGTTTTTCATCTCAGATTCAGCAGAGGATCTTTCAATATGTGAATAAAGTCGGTTTTAATCTTGCTTAATAATAAAATAGTTAAATAAAGTGTATAAATAAATAATAGTTTGAGAAAAATACCTGCCATGTGATTTTAGAGACTTCTGTAGATTATAAAGATGATTCAAACATTCTTGTTTGACAGAATACGGAATAATGACATTGTCCATTGTGGAGTTTAATGATGCTATTTGACGTTTTAGATCATGTATCCTAGCTTGCATGACATTATGTTGTATGTTTCCTGCCTCAAATTCTTTTTCCAGTCCATCCACTTTTGCTTTTACATTATCACCAGCTAATCGTGCTAATCGAGCAAATGGTCCAGCAACAGCTTTAATAGCACGTCTTCCAGTACCTTTTGATTTGCTGTCCAAAATGCAAAAGTATTGTAATACACCAGTATTGTGAACATGTGTACCACAACAAGCTTCTCTGAAATCAAAATCTTCATTATTTAGCTTACTAAATTATTTAAAAGATTTTGCTAGATACATCAAATCCACTTACTTTGATGTTAACGAACTATCATTAATTTCTACAATTCTGATTCCTGTCAGAGGATAAATTTCTCCAGGTACTAATACAAGATCATCTTCTGATAATAGCTTCAAAGAATCAGCGATTCGCGTATTAACAGGAACATTAGCCTTTATAATGTCATTAACACGATCTTGTACGACCATCAAATTGTTAAAACTCAATTCTTCCCCAAGCAGACTAATCGTAAACGTTAAATTCTCTTTTGTGACAGTACAGCTTCTCTGGCGCACTACAGGCATTACTTGCCTCAAAGCAGCATGTAATAAATGCGTTGCAGTATGGTGTCTCATAATATTGACTCTAGTTTCAGTATCGATGGTAGGTACACACTCAACTCCAACTCTCAATTCTAATTCCGTATTCCTGAATGAACATGTCTTTAATTTTAATAATTTAATACGTAAATATGATTAATAAATATTAATATAAGTTAAATTTTGTTCAATAAATTTAAATAACATACTCACGCTACACTTTGGGCAGCAAACTTTCCAACGTGAATAACATAACCATGAAGTTTGTATACTTCGTTGACATTAAATCGTAAGTTCTTAAATTGAATATATCCAGTATCAGAAGCTTGACCTCCTTCGCAAGTATAATAAGGCGTTTTGTCCAGTATTAAACCAATTTCCACGTCAGGTTCTATAGTTGCGCCAATTTCAACAATGTTGCCGTTCCGTGTTACAGTTGCTTCAGTTATGACTGTGCTTTCATCGTCTGAATGTGGCGGATTCTGAGGCACCACATTACCTAAGAGGCATTAATAGTAATAATACAAAATAATCCGTTTAATACATATTTCTATAACTTACCATTTATAATAACTGCAACTAATTTCGATTTTATATTTGAAAAGCAGTATTTGTCAACAGTATAGGTGTATTCATATTTGGGAGAATCGTCCGTTTTCGGTGTATTATTCTGTTCAAGTAAAGTCAAAGACGATTGTGTTATAATCTCCTTTTTCATATTTCCAATTTTGAATCTCGAATGTTGTCTGACATCATCAAGAGCCGCATAAAATGTGCTTTCGTCAAATGAAAGTGATTCAACTTTTGCCAATTCAGCTATTGTGTGTACACTTAAGCCATAAGTATCATATAGTTTAAATGCCACATGAACTGGTAAAACAGCTGATTTCGATCTGAAAATAACAAATCATCTACAAGACTTAGTTCATCAATGAAGGAGATAAGTTTTTCAGACATACATATCTGCTATTACAGTCTGTAAGTCTTTGTACGCTGCTACTAATCCTGGTGAATTTACGTCACTAATTATGCCTAAGGAAGGCCGTGTCTGTACAATCTTTTTCCATTCAGCTTCAGCTGTACACTTTACATTTTTTAATACTTCATCTTCATGTTGTATCACTCTTTGTACCTATTCATAATAACGTGTTATTTAAGTAATGCAACATATATTAACCCTTTACACTCGAAAGGTGACCTCTCAGTCTCCACTGGCAACTGGAATGGCAAAGTCCTCGAGTGCAAAGGGTTAATAGTGATTTTACATTAATGTATTCCTTTTGTATTGTTACCATTGTAAGATTTTTCCTTATTTCTGGGTAGACGTCGCCGAGAATCTCTGCAATGTGGAAGGTTAATTCAAGAAGCAATCCATCCTGCTTGAACACGTTTTCACTCACGTCTAATGCCTTACGCAATACCTTCCGTAGTTTATAACTGAAAGCAGACAATTTATTTTGAGAGTTAAATAATTATACCTGTGTTACAAGTTTAAAATATTTTGAAATATATATATCATGTCGTCTACAAATATTAAAGTATTTGAACTGACAAAAGATAAAATGAAGTGAAGACCTTAAACTATCATTTTTAACATGAAGTTATCATAGGATAATTGTTAGAGTAAACATCTATATTGGTGCATATGTGAAATAGAATGTACTTTTCCTCAGGTAATGTGCCATCAGCAATTGCTACAGTAACCATCCTTGCATGATCAGCTAATATTCGGTATCCAGAATCTATACCATCTTTATCAGCTGCAGCAAATCTTCCTTCATATTCAGGAGCATGTGATTTCTTCTGAATAGCTTCAAATAATGGCGTGAAAAGATCTGTGTCATAGTTTGACCGCTTCCTTTGTAATACTGCCACAAGTCTTTCAAGTCCCATTCCCGTATCTATATATTGCTTGGCCAAAGGTATTATGGAACCATCCGTTAACCTGCCTCACATAAATTAAATGTCAATATAAAGAAACAATAGAAGAAAGTAGTCCTTACAAAATGACTTAGAACCTTTGATGTTGTATAAAAACTATGTTCCAAAGTTCTGTTAAATCTGTATGCCCCTTGTTAACCATTTCAGCCTGATTCTTAGGATTCATTGTATGATCTATGTGAATTTCTGTACACGGTCCACAAGGACCCGTTACTCCCATTTCCCAAAAGTTTTCTTCCATTCCAAAGGGTAAAATTCTATTTGCTGCAACTCCAAGGTTTAACCAAATATCTTTGCATTCTAAATCAGCCTGCAGTCCAAATTTCTCATTGCCACTAAAGTATGTAACATATAGAAAGTCTTTATTGATTCCATAAATATCTGTAAGTAATTGCCATGCATATCTGCAAGCTTCCTCCTGTAATATAAAAAATGGAATTACGACTCAATATAGACTTCATTAAAGTCATTAACTTCCCTTTCATAAGAGAATTCTTAGTCCGAAATCAAGAGAATAAAGTAGAAATTAAATATCTGATCTACATTCATTAATATTAATTTCTTCAAATTGTACTTTAAGCGTTATGGGATTCTTGCAATACTAAAGCAGTTCAAATAGACTTAACACATAGCAAATGTAAATGATAATATTACATATAAATTGTATTAGTAACAAGATACATTGCTCTCTTGAAGTTATATTACTATTTTTGCCTGTTATTGACCAAAGTCAATGCATATTAATGCTTTTTGCTAATGTGTTAAGTTTTGTCAAAGAATCATTTGACAAAAGAAAAATTGATTGCTATGGTATAGCTTTCATATGCTCAATGGTTATATAAAGGTTGTACTTTAAAGTAATCTCCAAATGACCAATTTCCAAGCATTTCAAAAAATGTATGATGATAAGTATCTTGTCCAACAATGTCTATATCATTGTGTTTTCCACCGACTCGGATACATTTTTGAGAATTAACAACTTTTGTTGTATGTGGGGTGCTATATCCTAAAAATATTCCCTTGAACTGAAATCATTAAAATTGTTATCAGAAAAGAATTCAGCTTTTGGTCTAAGTATCAAATAAGAAGATAGAAAAATTACCTGATTCATTCCAGCATTTACAAAAGGAACCGTTGGATCAAATAGTGGGAAAACAGGACTTGAGTGGACAAACGTATGGTTCAAATTATTCACAAAGAAATCCAGAAATTCTTGACGAACCGTTTTCGCACTCTTATGCACAATTGACTTAGCATTGTTCCGCTGAACGGTATTTTTACTTATGTTTCCTACTTGTCGCAAAAACATGTTAATATAGCCTAAGAGTAAGGTTATGAGACTACCAATCCAACATTAGCCCTCGACTTTCAAATGGCATGACATTTCCTATGCTGCAACTAGTCGTCATTCTAAAATATGCACATATCTCACTTATAATAGCAAAGATCTTAATAATGACGTGCAGTATAATTTACATGTCAAAAAAATAAAACACCGGTATAATGCCGATGAATTTAGCCCAAATGTAGTTTTGATATACCCAGAGGTAAGAGGGAAAGTGCCAAAAGTGACTGTAATAGAGATTATGTGCTGCCCTCACGTATCATTTACGGACAGTTCATAATAACATGTAACATCATCTGTCATATAAAAGCAGAAACTCATATATTTTCATTTGACAGATTAATGCCCGCCGTATACGTCAGCCGATAGAGAACACAGAGATGAGTTGGGACATTGCTCACGGGCAGGGTCGCGCGATCGCTAAATCGAGGCCTGATAAAGGATCGATTGGTCGTCGTCACCGACCCGATAAAGGATCGATTGGTCGATCCTTTATCGAGCCGGTGACGTCGTCCAATCACGGAGTCGAGTCTCGGTCGGGGATTGCGGCCCGGCCGGCGGATCGCCAGCCAGTTGGCCCTGAAATTTTGTCGCGATAAGATGTCGTTAAAAATTAAGAATATGGCGGGGGGCGCGAGGACAATGAGTACGCAAAGACAATGAGGTTAAGACGCGACAGTGATCACGATCCGCGAGTGCCATGGATTAAATATTGTTCAGCGGAAGAAAAGGAATTCAATGAAGGGAGAGTAATTCAACGAAGTGAGAGGAACTCAACGAAAGAAGAGGAATTCAACGAAATAAGAGGAACTCAACGAAATAAGAGGAATTCAGTGAAAGAAGAGGAATTCAACGAAGGCAGTAGAAGCATGCAGCCAATTCCATCATCGGGGCGGAGGTGGAGATGGAGCCGAGGCTTGAAACCCCCAGGTCTCCTTCGGGAGGGATCTCCTGGGGGTGAACGGCACGAAGAAGACGAATCGTCTCGTTGGTGAGTCGGAATTTCACCTTCCTCCGGCCTCCTCATGCCGCAGGGCAAAAGGTCC